CGCTGCCGCCGCCTCAGTCTCCTCAATGTCGTCGCGCAGTGGCGCTGCCTTCTGGCTAGCTTGGTTAGCACTAGCTGTTTCGGACACCTTGTTCGCACCGGCCCCAAGGGCAGGTTTAGCCGAGTTTCTGGTGACGTTTGGCATGGCAGCGATGAAGAAATATTATCCAAGATATTGTAGCGCAGATTTCAAGACTCTCCGTTGTGTTTTGGGCAAAAAATATACACGGGGGAAAGCACAGTTCACTCTCAAGCAGCCATACTCGCCAAGCGCGTCACGTGACTCCAAACCAAGACAGACTTTAAAAATTTCATATAATTATCAAAAAATAAAACAAATCATATTTGACATTGCAGACTATTGGAATATAGGACTAAACAGTATGAAAAGAACTCAACTGGTTTTGTAAATTTGACCATGGCCTTTATCAAGCATATTCCATTAAATATTTGGGAATAAAATACTTATTTTTCAACAGTAAATATCTAGCTATTATGTTGATCATAGAGATACCATGTAATTTATGAACTGGAGAGGGGTAATTATTACCCTTGGTTATGGCCCCATCCTTCAAACATAAACATGCTACTCTTTCAAAATTACAGTCATTTACAATACTCTTCTTACTAAAAGCCTTTTTGTCTTGTACAGCAGATTTAGTGTAACTATGGGTTAAACAATATTGCTTAAATGTATCCAGGTTCGTAAAATTAACTATGGCATTTTAAAATTCAAATTCTATTGATAGTAATTTTCTAAACAAGTCTCAATTTTAGTAGTTAATGTGTAATTATTACACTAACCATAAAATACTGTGTGAATGAAGCATTAGTAGTACATTCCCCTTTAACTTTGTGTTGAAAAGGCCCACTTGTCCCAAAGGACAACCACCTGGTTTAAAAATAATAAAAGATATTAACATACCCTATAAATAAAACAGCCTTCAGACATGACATGCCAGGTTCTTTCAGGAAATGTCTCAGCACTGCCACTGGAAATGAACAAGTTTGGCAATGGTAGAATTATTTTATAATTTTATAAAAGTAAACTGCTTTTTTTTAATTATAAAAATATTACTACTCTCTGGATTTGTCTCTCATAATCATGTAAGCTTGCTTGGTTTGAAACTATTTAACATTTGCATGATGTATTTTATACAGAAATCACAATCTGAGTTTATGTTTCAACCTTACACATTGAGCACTGAGTCCTGTTTAAGAAGACAGGAGGAAAATCTTGGTGACTTCTGTTTTAATTTCTAGGACCCCTCTACCCAACTGGTGGAAAAACAAGCTCTCAAGAGGATGATGGAAGCTCCACGTCAATTTCACTCCTTCCACCCTTTAACTATTTTGGCAAATTCTACTCTCAGACATATGTATGTTCAGATTATTTCTTAGATTCAAAGTAACTTTTCTTTTTAATTAACAAGATGACATTCAAACATTCATAAAAAAATATTAACATCATATAAATTGAGTAATTTTATTTGCAGGTGAACCACAATGGACATCTGACCTTTGAAACCCCATGGAGTAGTTTTACACCAGAACAGATTCCAATCTATGGAGGAAGAGACATAATTGCTCCTTACTGGACTGATTTAGACAATCGTGAAAGTGGTAACATCTACTATGTTCAGTACACCCATGGCTCTATTCTCCAACAAGTTACCCAGGACATCAACTTGTACTTCCCAGAACTTAACTTCCATGCCAACTGGATATTTATTGCAACATGGCATAAAGTTCCCTATTATGCAATGCCTGAAAGAGTAAGGAAATGTATTTGATGTTATATTTGGAATGAAAAGACATAAACTATGTTTAATCTGTGTCGCCAATTCTAAAATCTAACTTTTTTTTTCATAGCAAAACACCTTCCAGGCAGTCTTGGTTTCGAATGGGAAATATTCATTTGTGATACTGAATTATGGATCCCTTGCGACTAAAAACCACTCTGTAGAGGTTAGGGGATTTCCGTTAAGATGCATACAACATGTTTTTTTCACCTTTTCTTGGCTACAGCCTTTCTTAAGTACCAGTGTTTGTTTTTTGTTTTTTTTGTAAACTTGCTATTTCTAGGCTGGATATGACACAGCATATTCCTGTCACCACTTCAACATTCTTGGATCGTTCTCTAATAACACAGTTCCAAAAGTCACACTTTTAAGCCTTGGTAGTAACGTCAATGTATCCGGTCGCTGGGCTTTCCGTGTAGATGATGATTCAATGGACTACAATGGTAAGAACAAATAATTATTAAATATATTTCTTTATGAGAATTACAGCATGTATTATAGTAATTAAGAAAAACTCCAGTCTGTGTCACACTGCATCTGTGCCCTTCGCGCCCCTATCACACAGAACCCCTCATTGATGCCCAACCCTACACTTCAGACACAACCATGCAAAACTTTCAGAATAAACACAGAATACACCACAAAAAAATCCTTTATTTGTTGACACACCAAAACATTACAGCAAAAAATGGAAAACACCATGAACAGAACTCAACTTTTTTGGGGGAAATTGACTACCATGGCCTTTTTAATAACACAGCTCAATATACATTTCAAAATAAATGCCTTACTGTATATACTAAGTATGTAACTATTAAGCCTATAATAGTGAAAAAGACTGCCTTAAAAGTCAGTACTGTAAAAGAAAGCTCTGTGTTTACTCCTTTAAGTTTTGTAGTTTTTAATATATACATATCAGTCAGATATTTATATGTGGAGAAGCGAGCTGATTGGTCAGTGCTGTCATCTGTAAATGTAAGCAATTTTTGTGGTCCGAGTAAGATTGCAATTTTTCTCGAAATTATATATAAATATACATATATATATATATATATATGTTGTGATTTTATGTTCTTTTCTATTCCCAGCCCGCTGGGAATTTATATGTGTATGTGTATGTGTATATATATATATATATATATATATATATATATATATATATATATATATTATTTTTGTTATATATAGTGTTGGATAAGTTACTTTAAAAATGTAATCCGTTAGGAACAGTTACAAGTTACCTTGTTTAAAATGTAATTGTAGTGTAACTTTCTCAATTACTTTTAAAAAGTAATGCAACTATTTACTTTTGATTACTTTTTGATTACTTTAAGGTTTTAATGAGTATTGACCCATGTTCAGCATTTAATTTTTGAGAACTGAATGTGAACCTTAAAAAAGCACTAAGCTGAGAGGGAACTGCTGACAGGCAATCACAGGATGTCCACAAGAAGAGATGCCAGCTCCAGGCATGTAAGATTTTCTCAGACTCCTCTCATCGGGCCATACTCTTTTCTGTTCATCCTCCCCCAGGCTCTCCCATTTATGCAGTTTGCAGACTAACACAAGCAGGTTCAGAAACCACTTCTTTCCTACAGCGGTCACCTTATTGAACTCTTCCCAAAGACCAGTCTTTCCTTCCTGTCACATGCTTGTCAGGAGGCCAAGCAGTCTTGGAGGTGGGACCCAAACTGGTTGACAGAAGAACATGCTTTGAAGAGTTTTCAGCAGACAAAATTTTAATTTCTTCTTGTGCAGGACATCAACAAAACCACACCAACCAAGAACAATGGCAGACATGTTTCTTAAATAGAGGAGGAACTAAATTGGAAGAAACCATTTTTAAAAAGACTGTTCAGCTTCACAATAAGAAGAAAAGGAAATTTTGGTTTAAACAAACAACTAATTAAGAAATACTTTTACCAATAAATACAGAAACAAATATATTAATTCAATCCAAACAAATACTCAAACTCAATAAAGAAAATACCATACATCAGATCAACCTCCCCCCTCTTCAATTATCTAATGGTACAGTCCTGTACACACCTGCTTGGAGAGTGAAACAGCAGAGGTGAGTATTTCAAAATATTTTAAATATTTAATGTCCCTTTTATAAATAAACAAAAAAATATATATATATTTTAAAGTGAAATCAATTTACCTTTTTACAAAAATAAAAAAAAGATGTGGCCAACCAAAGAACCAAAACCCAAACAAATATAAACCAATGTAGAAAACCAGATCCTGTGTTTAGCTGCTACTATGGCCAATATACAATTAACAATGGCTCATTGTTACATCTCCTCCCCCCTTCTCCCAAGAATAAAGTACTTCAATTTTCATGTACCCGGGAAAGACAGTCTGCCACCAGGTTTGCCTTTCCTGACCTATAGTGAATAGTGAAGTCATAAGGCTGAAGTGACAAATACCACCCTGTGAGACGAGTGTTCGATTCTTTCATCCTCTTGAGCCACTGCAGAGCCCGATGGTCAGTTTCCAGGTAGAAGTGACGTCCTAAGAGGTAGTACTTCAGGGAACTAATTGCCCACTTCATGGCCAAGCACTCCTTTTCCACAGTCGAGTAACGTGTCTCTCGATCCAAAAGTTTCCGGCTCAGGAACAGTACTGGCTTTCTTTGTCCATCCACGTCCTGCAAAAGCACAGCTCCCAGGCCAACTGCTGAAGCATCAGTTTGAAGAATGAATGAATTATTGAAATCAGGGGTGTGAAGAACAGACTCACTTGTTATGGCCATCTTCAGGTCTTTAAAGGCCCTGTCACAGTCCTCGGTCCATTTCACTTTCGTTGGTGCTGAAGCCTTTGTGAGATTAGTTAACGCCGCTGCTCTGTCAGCAAAATGTGGAATAAATTTGCTGTACCAACCTACCAGTCCTAGGAATGCTCGAACCCTCTTTTTGGTGCTTGGAACAGGATAGGAGTGGATGGCATCCACCTTTCCAACTCGAGGCTTTATAACACCTTGACCAACAATATGGCCCAGATACTCCACTTCACTTTTTGCTAAGGAGCATTTGCCAGGATTGATTGTAAGCCCAGCATTTTTTAGCAGCCGAAGAACCTGCTGAAGGTGAGTAACATGGTCCTCCCATGTCTGGCTAAAGATGACCACATCATCCAAATAGGCAGCAGCAAATTGTTGTACATCTCGAAGAATCTGGTCCATGAGTCTCTGAAATGTTGCTGGTGCCCCCTGTAGACCAAACGGCATCACCTTGAACTGGTACAAACCAAATGGTGTGGTGAAAGCTGTCAGTTCTTTAGTTTCTTGTGCCAAGGAGAGTTGCCAATAACCTTTGCTCAAGTCAATAGTGCTGATGAACTTTGAATTGCCAACCTTCTCCAACAACTCATCTATTCTTGGCATTGGGTATGACTGACACTTTGACATTGAGTTAAGATATCTGAAGTCAATACAGAATCTTAGAGAACCATCTTTTTTTGGAACCAAAACAATAGGACTACACCACTCACTTGTAGATTGTTCTATTACGTCCAGCTGCAACATCACCTCGACTTCCTCCTTGAGTTTCGGCAGCAGACGTTCAGGGATCCGATAGGACCTTCGGCGTGGTATAGCATCAGCTTTGAGATGAACTTTATGCTCAACCAGAGTAGTAAAACCCGGCCGTTCTGTGAAAAGGTCTGGGTCAAGCAATGCCTGGATCTCTCTCTGCTTACCAGGCTGAAGATGTGACAGATCCACTGTCATGGATTTCTGGTCTTTTCTTGGGAACTCCTGTTCTCTGTCCTCTTCCGCTTCACAAATGAAGAGATGTGGCTGAGGTGAGTCCTGTTTCAACAGTTGGACCTGCTTGGATGAAGGACAGTGAAACTCCTTCAAAAGATTCACATGAAAACACTGATGTTTCTTCTGTTTATCTGGTGTGTGGAGTTCATACGTGACCTTACTCACACATCTTGTGATCTCATAGGGGCCATGCCATTTGGCCAGCAGCTTGTTGTCACTGGTGGGTAGAAGAAGCAAGACCTGCTGTCCAACCTGAAAAGTTCTCTGTCTGGCCTTTTTGTCATACCAGAGCTTCTGGTTAGCTTGTGCGGTCTTCATATGCTCCTGTGCTAGTGTCGTCATCCGCTGCAACCTGTCTCTCATCTGAAGAACATAGGCAACCACGTTGTCCTGTTGAGATGTCGGAGTCTCCCAGTGATCTTTCAAAAGATCCAGTGGTCCTCTGACTTGGCGACCATAGAGAAGTTCGAAAGGAGAGAAACCTGTGGATGCTTGTGGAACCTCCCGGTATGCGAACAAAAGATATGGCAGCCACTGGTCCCAGTCAGAGCCTGTTTGGGAGACAAACTTCCGCAGCATGTTTTTTAGAGTCTGATTGAATCTCTCCACCAGCCCATCCGTCTGGGGATGATATGGGGTGGACCTAATACCCTTAATACCTAACAGCCCATAAACCTGCTGCAGCAGTTTTGATAAAAAGTTTGTGCCACAGTCAGTCAGGATTTCTCTGGGTATGCCCACTCTCGAAAACAGCTGGATCAAACAGTTAGCCACATGCCTAGCAGTGATAGATCTAAGAGGAAATGCTTCAGGGTAACGAGTGGCATAGTCACAAATAACGAGGATATATCTATGGCCAGATGAGCTTTTCTCAAGGGGCCCTACTATATCCATTCCAATTCTGTCAAATGGAGTAGCAATTAGCGGCAATGGCTGAAGTTGGGCCCGTGGTACCCCCCTAGGAGATGTTAGCTGGCAAGTTTGACATGTAGCACAAAACTCTTTCAGTTGTATGTACATACCAGGCCAAACAAACCTACTGGCTATCCTTCTGAGGGATTTCTGAAATGCTAGATGACCTGCCCATGGAACAGAATGACCAAGCTCCATTACTTTCTGTGTTAAACATTGTGGTAATGCCAAAGCCTCAATCATGCCCTGTCTTTGATAGAGAATGCCATTTTTAATTATATATGTAGTATCTGCTAGACAATCTGCTGTGTGTAGTTTGTCACCCTCTAACTCTGTAACTTTATCAAACCAAACTTTTAGTTTTGGATCAGCCCTTTGAAGTGCAGCAACATCTGAGGGAATTTCAAAATCTATGGCCTCACTTGGTTCTTTAATAACTTCACACCGGTTTTTTGATGAAACCAAAAACTTCTCCCTCCTCTTTTGTGCTCTGGTCTAGAGTTGGAAAAAGATTGTCTATTCTTATTCGGTCTTGAAACACCAGGTTTAGAAAAAGGTTTTCTGAAATTACAGTGGGACCTATTTTGAATTTGTCCACCCCCATCACCCCCATAGGACTTACTGCTTCCAGTGAAACGGCTGTCACTGTAGAAGGCTGAACTGTGGCTCCCGGTCCTGGCAGACAGGAACACCTCTGCAAGTTGAGCAGCTTCTTCAGCAGACTTGGGGTCCCTTTCACGTATCCAAATCTCCATCTCT